GAGATCATTATATTGCTCGCAGTTCCTCTAAAGGTTCAACTGAGTCTGTGTCTATGTAAACATTTACTTGCACGTGTGGTTTCAAATTGAAAACATTTACTTGTACATGTGGTCTCACTAAATTAACATTGTCATTTCAAAATATACTTTCGTGAAGTGAAGTGAAGTGAAGTGAAAGACTTTATTTAATGAGGGTGACCCGTGACAGTAACTTAAGTTACTGATAAACTTGGGGCCCTCAGCTTAAAATAATCAGAATGCTAAAAATATATTATTTACAATAAAATGCTAAAATACGATATTATTTACAATAAAATACTTAATTAAGTTACTATTATTATTATTTCGTCCCGACCATGTCATGTAGGAGCAAAAACAATCTCTTTTATTCAGGCAATGATATAAGCGCAGTATTACATGGTTGTCTGCCTTGACGTCTTGGCACCTGTGACACTTCACAACCCGTAATAAGCACTGCTATAGTAACTTTAACAAAACATACATTTTTGTCAGATGTGACTTTTACTTCTGAACTTTTTAAAAAAAACTCTTATGCAACGTTAAGAATCTATGACTAATCGATCTATTAATTTTACTTTCTTCCTTAGTCTTGACTTTAAATAATGAGATCAATCTTGTAGTTGGCCTAGTCCGAAAAGAAAGTTTCTGAATCCCAGTGAGGAATCGAACCCATGACCTGTCCAGATTGCCGTTCGTTTTTTTCGCGATATTACCACGTCATGATTTTGGCCTCTTAAGCGGTCTAGCTAAAATAGCGAAAAACATTATTTTGGTAGTCTTCATTGTTATTCATATCCAGTATAGTTAAAATTGGTATCTACAGGCAAATCGGAGTAATTCTTCCGCCAAAGTCCAAAAAATGTCATTAGTCAGAAATATTTCCCGTTAAGTGTTTAGCGAAGACTGTCACCTAATTCCGACTTTCTACGATTGTTGTCCATGATTTACTTAAAGATCTGCAAAAGATAGTTAGCTGGACTGCAGAATAGAACATCGCTGTTAACCTATGTAAACATTTCAAAATCGCCAAATCCTTACTATTATTTGGCGGATCCGCAGCAATCCGCGTGAGAAATTCGGTCGAAGTTTTTGTTTCTTCACGGTAGTCGCAAATTGTAACGCAAGTCGTTATTGGCTACAGATAATTTCATTGTAGCCAATGGTAGCTCCTGTTGTTTTTTATCCGAATTCATGGTTGTTTTTGTCGCAACATGGAAGGCTTCATGTTGTAAGAGGCTACTTCATGAGATACACAAACCCTCAACTTGTCGCGAAATGTGAGCAANGTTTAGCGAAGACTGTCACCTTATTCCGACTTTCTACGTCTTACGATTGTTGTCATGATTTACTTAAAGATCTGCAAAAGATAGTTAGCTGAACTGCTGAATAGAACATCGCTGTTAACCTATGTAAACATTTCAAAATCGCCAAGTCCTTACTATTATTTGGCGGATGCGCAGCAATACGCGTTAGAAATTAGGTCGAATTTCTTTTTTTGCTACGCGGTAGTCGCAAATTGTAACGCAAGTCGTTATTGGCTACAGGTAATTTCATTGTAGCCAGTGGTAGCTCCTGTTGTTTTTTATCCGGATTCATGGTTGTTTTTGTCGCAACAGGAAGGCTTCATGTTGTAAGAGACTGCTTCACGAGATACACAAACCCTCAACTTGTTGCGAAATGTGAGCAAATTTTATGCGTGACAAGTTGTGAGTTTGATGAACGAGCAGCAAAGCCAAAATTTG